GTGCTTCTAAAACTATCCATTTCATAAAATAAAATAAGATTTTTTTTATTTTAGGGTATCATTATATATACATGATTAACAATACTGAATTCATAGCAATTCAGTTCCAGGCTCATAGTGTTTATGATCGCTGTGCGATTTTGAAAATGGCAATGCTCAGTTAAAAATGATCAAGTGATCAAGTAATATGGGAATTTTTCTGCATATAGTGTAATAGTAAAGGTACAAATATAAAATGAAGAATAATAGCAGCATTATTTCAAACTTAAATAAAAAAGTGAATCTGCAAGTTGTAGGGTTAATGGTATACTGGGTGCACCTAAAACTTTTGAAGTAAAAAAAAAAATTTTTTTTTTCATTTTAACTCGTGTTCACAAGAATTGTAAATTTCTGCCATTTGGATTTTTTACCCCCCCCTCCTTCACCATCATACACATAATCCTACAAATGTTAATCCTGGGTTTATCTATTGTGTAAATGATTGCGGATTATAACTCATTCATTTGTTTGTAAATTTTCCATCTTTTAATTGGTTAATATTAAAATATTTTTACTACTAGACTGAAAAATATTTCGTGTATCCTTTATATTCTCAAAAAAGCAGTGTCATTATTGACCCAATGCAGACAGACAACCTTATAGATGTAGTGAATCAACCGAATTTCCTTTTTATTTACTGTCTGTTGTGTATCGTAATTACATGTTACATGTACCAACTTCACAATTTTTCTGTCTTTATATAAAATTTAGAAAGAAAGAACAATCAAATAAATTTTCACTTCGCAGTAGCATTTAGGTAGCGTAATGTTGTAATTTTTAAAAAAAATTAATTTTCACATATACGGTAACTAAAGATATATCGTTTATGCTGAAATCTTAATCTATCGAGAGCAATGTTTAAATTAAGATAATTTTCAAATGAATTCTACAGGCTTATCAAATGACTCTTGCATGGATTACAAGTAAATAATTTGTTTGAGAAAATAATTGTTTCAAAAAAAAAAAGAAAAAAGAATGGATGTTGCCCGCTGTTCAGGTTTCTCCCTGGTGTCATAGAAAAGTGAAATGTAAAACAAGCACTCACTCATAATACTATACACCACTGATGAATCCATAATACCATAATACATATAACTATTAAAAAATTATTAATAATTAAAAGAGACAATGAGATAAAAATAATGTGCATGGAAAAATATCAAATATTATACAACTTTTAATCACCGTAGTAAAATTACAACAGACAATCATTTAACGTTCACTCTGAAAACGTTTGACGTTGTTGAAAAACATGACGTCATTATTAACCTGTTAAAGTATATTTGATAAAAATGAAGAAAAAACCTACTTAGAGTAGACGTAGGACCATAAAAATTCATATTTGACAACTTCTAACCTTACTCTATCAGAATCCGTGAAAAACTCAAAATGCATAAAAATTGCCATAAGGACCCTTTTCACATGGGCGCAATCATATCTCTTATTCACATTCTTTTTTCTGTTAGTCTGATTAAATAAAGTAAATGTCGCTTGTGATGATTTCCATACTTTGAAGCAAAAAAATGCATTACAACTCGTAGAGCCATTTTTTCCCATTTCGACAATCCCTTTGTTCAATACGCCAGTTTCGAGATTGTAACTCTTTTACGATAGAGGCGCAAAAAGTATCCATTTCGGCAGGGAGGTGGAACAGGTTGTTTCTGTATACAAACGTGCATAAATAAATGAACGATATTTATGGCTTTTAAAATTTATTAAATGTTGTAAAAAGATAATGATATTAAGCAGTGATGCATTTGATGATTTTATCAAGTTCAACTATGCATATTTACAAATCTACTTTAAATTATAGGTACTTGAAAACGAAATAAATGTCATAGTCTTAATAAAAAGTAACTGATTTTCTTGATTGTACAAACAAAAAGTTTGTGGGTTTTTTGAAGTTGTAATATGGAAGAGAATCAATGTGTCATTTAGATCGCCTACGTACAATGTTCAGATGCATGTGTACCGTTTTTATTAGAGGTCCAAATATCTTCCCTCGTCTGAAAAGTCTTACATCAACCGACATTTTCTTTTTTGTTACGATTTTTTTGCTTTAAAAAATGACGTCTTTAAATTAATTCGGTTATTCTCGAAATGTAGAGTGCATCCCGACAATCATGTAGTTATGATAAACCAGTATATCGATGATACAATGTATCCAATATCAAACATTTGTCCCACCTGTTTGTTTACGCAGCAACGAAACTCCCCTCCCCAACGAAAGAGCACACCAAGGGAGATAATCTCGAAACTTGCGTATTCAACAGAGTAAAACAACAATGTTTATGATCACAAATATACCAATGCCATCATTTAATTTTCAACTAAAGACTAAAAAATGAGATTGTTGTGTCTTTTAAAAATTCGGAGATTAGATGCCTTTTTAAAATCTTTTTAATGTGTTTGTCATTTTCATTCTAAGAAAAAATACACTTTAAAACGTGACGTTCCAATTTACGCGGCGACACCCCCTATGCTTTATGTTTTAAAATAAATTCAAATAAACATTATTAATTAAAATTTCAGCGTTAATTAGATTTATATTTGTGCCTCTTTTCGTATATTGTATTTGATAATATGACGCCAAATATAAAAGATATGGACACAGACATTACTTTTGGATCAGCCCTCGTACAAGCATTATAAAATGCTATCAGATTGAAGTTTGTTGTTTAATGTCCTCTCGAGGGTTTTAATTATATAGAAGGACAATCGCTTTGTCCTATTCTCCTATTCTCGGCATTCGCGGCCAGTCAGCAGTAAGGAACCTCTTTTGTGCCAACGTATTCTGCGACACTGGATTTCTTTTTATACGTTCTCATCCGAAGGATACTATCAGATTGAATTTATCCTATAAAAATATATAAATAGGTAAATTATCAGTAAACTAAATAACTCAAGTTTTCTATGATTTTTTCCTGATTTTTATATTTTAACTGGAACCATAACGAAAACTGGAAATTTTGTCTTCTCTCCAACCGGAGTTGATTTTCGATACTTGCAAACCGAACAAAATGCCGAAATCTGAATTTATCAACAGCTCATTGCTTCTAGTGCTCACCAATATCGATTTCAAGAAAATATCACTCTACATTTCTGGCCAGTCAAATAAAATGTTTTTATCGGATTGTATATTTTATAAATGAACCATAAAAGCGATATTAGTAAGTACTAAAAGTATTACACTATTGATAAATTGTAAGTTTGGAATTTAAATAAACTATGCCAATATATACGTATATAAAGATTTGATTGCTTATTCTTTATTATGTGTATAGAAGATTCTTTTTTATGAAATATTTTCACACTGTTATGATGATTTTATGAGTTTGTACAAGCCAGACCTCATATTTTTTTCATTTCACATGCTAAATACTATCATAAAGTAAAAAAAGTATTTGGGGAAAAAAAAGAAAATGGATCGTCCGGGTTTCGAATCCGGGACCTCTCACGTACGAAGCAGGAGACATACCCCTACACCAAACCGCACTAAACTGACATCATATTTGACCATTTTTGTACAATTTTGCCAAGCTTTAATCTTGGCGATTAGTTTGGAATGGTCGGTGCTAGGGCTTTCAAATTTACGGATATATATTTATAATAAAAAATGTCCACATGTGTGATTCAAACGTGTTGACCTTTAGCCCTAAACTTTGTGACTTACTTTTGAGGAAAAACTTTAACCATGATCATAACTTGGAATGGTTGGAGCTACAGCCTTTATATTTCAACGGTATATTTTTTGTGAAATAATATTTCTTAAAATAAGAAGTTTCTTTGGGTACCAACATATTTAATCTCTCGATCTTAGAGTTTGACTAACACCTGGGGACGTCGGTATTTATTAAACACATCTAATTTATTTTAATTCTGATACTGAAACATTACAAAAGTTGTATGTTTCAATTACCAATTTTTTCTAGTGTTATCTTAGGTAGATTCAATGCTATTAACTATTACATTTCAACTTTTAATTTACAAACCAAAAGGATGTCAAAAATTTAGAATGATTTCAAAAAAGAAAAGGAGGGGAGTGAAGAAACTTTCAAGTGAAAAAAAATTAATTTCTTTCACTGCAAACAAAATGAATGCATAATTTTAAAATAAAAATAAAAATAAACAATCGTAGTTGATAGAAAAGCGGAATGTCGGCATAACTGAATTAGGTGTTAAGAGACAATGTGATACTGTAGGCTGAAATTGTTACATTTCGTCGAGTGCATTAAATTTTGAGCTTCCTGATATTAAAACCTTATTAAAACATGGTACATAAATAGTTCATTGTACACAAAAGCATAATACATACATTGCATATCGATTTGAACATCAAAATCACAAGTAATTGCCTACTTCTAGATATAAATTATCATTACTTACATGTGCCTTCTTTAGAATTAAATTTTGTAGACAACGACATTTTTAATCTTATTTTGAAAGACTTCTACATACATGTTTTCTTTTTCATATCTACATTTCATTTTATATTTATAGATGTGAAAACAAATAAACGACAATAGATTATTAAATATTGTTGTTTTGAATTGATTTCATTGTAAAAACCCTGTATAAGTATTTTCCATGTGATTTTAAAACCCCAAAATAAACTTTTTTCCATATATTTTCACAGAGTTTACATTTGTACATGAGATGTTCAGTATTTGTGTATTAAAAATCACCATTTCAAGGTTGGGCTGGATATTGCTCCCCCACCCTTTTTAATCATTCCTACTTAACATCAAAAAGTTTAGGATTTCCTAGAAAAAAAAATGCATCAATTAAAAGGAAATATGCAAAATATTCACATGAGAAAGGACATATTGATAAAAGTAATTTTCATTCCAGCTCACTGTAAGGAGGGAATGTACTATAAAGATTATGATTGCACTGAATGCGAAATTGGTTTTTTCAAAAGTACATTAAGTAAAATTATAACTCTCGAGAAGAATTTAAGGTGGAATTGTACAAAATGTCATCCTGGAACGACAACTCTTTCAAAAGGAGCAGACAGATGTATTGGTATGTGCTAGTTTCCATGACTCAGCCTCTATCATAAGAATGTACTAAGTATTTGACAGAAACAATAGTTTATTTTCACTTGATGAGATTTGCCTATCAGGGTTCGTCTTTTGTCTGTCTGTCTCCCTGTTTCTTACCATTTCTTTTTGCCCTGGTAGCTTTTATTCAAGAAAAAGATTCGTAGGCAGGACATTAATTTAATCATTTGCAAGATTCCTTATAAAGAGTAGAATCAATTTTGTTCAAGTCACGACCTGGACTTGGTTGAGTTAACGATTTTACCGATAGTTAAACTTATTTCTAACATTGATGCACTGCCTGAACGAAAGGAATAGTGAATAATTTTTTTAAAAGTTAATGTTCATTATTATCAACTTTATTAGTAAAGTTGTAAAATCTGTTAATGAAAATCTGGTTGTGTTTGTAGAACTGTGTTCGACAGGAAAAGAATATGACGCAAAAACAGAAAAATGTTACCCCTGTAAACTTGGTTTTTTTCAAAAACATCAGTGGAAGCAATATTAACTGTTCTTCGTGTCCAAATAACTACACTACCTAACATTTTGGAGCAATGTAAAAGAGGTAAAGTAATACTCAGTTGAATACTGTTCGTAAAATTGTACTCTTAAAAGGTATCATGATATATTTATGTTCCCCAAACGAAGTTGGGGAACATATTGTTTTTACTCTGTTTCTTATTATTATTATGTTCCCCAAACGAAGTTGGGGAACATATTGTTTTTACTCGGTTTTTTATTATTATTATTTTTCTTCTTCTTCCTGGGTACTTTTTTGTCCGCGAGTGATCTTGTAAACTGTTCATCCGAAGTAGGTAAAACCTTTTTAGGGTTAGTAGACATGTTATGTAGATTTGCGGAATCAAGGTCATTTTCCGCGCACGTGCTTGCAAGAGCGTGCACGTGCAACACGTGAAATGACCAGTATAATAGATATAGCCGTAACTTTTCTATTTTTTGACAATATGCTTTGAAACTCATAATATAAGTATATATTAGTTGTATATGCATAATGACATGTTTCTCGCGCACGTGCTTGCAAGAGCGCGCACGTGCAGCACGTGAAATGACTAATATAATAGATATAGCCGCAACTTTTCTATTTCTTGATGAAATGCTTTGAAACTCATAATATAAGGATATATTAGTAGTATAGACATGATGACATGGTCAAAATAGCAAGATCTCACGTGCATGCACGTGCGCTTCGCTCTGATTGGCTGAAACTAAAGTCTCAATATTTTTCATGTTTCTTGTAATAATCTTTTGAAATTTTGAACAAAGTCTAAAATTATGAAGATCTACAGCATGATATAAAAAATTTTCATGAAAGCATGCGCATGCGTGCGTGCTGTAATCTGATTGGCTGAAACTTTAAATGGCTATATCTACTTTGTTTTTTGACGAAATGCTTTGAAATTTAAAACATAGTCATGCAGTAGGATATCCTACAATACGATATAGAAAGAAAATCATTAAATCACGCGCATGCACGTGTGCTGCAATTTGATTGGCTGAAACTTTAAATGGCTATATTTATTTTGTTTTTTGACGAAATGTTTGGAATTTTAAATATAGTCATTCATTAAGATATCCTTCAATACGATTAAGATAAAAAATTCATGAAATCACGCGCATGCATGTGTGCTGCAATCTGATTGGCTGAAACTTCAAATGGCTATAACTCCCTTGTTTTTTAACCAAACAGGATGGGATTTAGAACATAGATAAATATAAGGGACTCCTACAAGTAGGTGTGTTCATCATGCACTTGCTTGCACGTGCGTGCACGTGAAATGAGTAAAATTAAAAATACACTCGAATGAATGTATTTTTTAATACTTTTGGATAACATCTTTGATATCAAGTATATTAAAATATATAGATAGAGTAGACAAGATAATATGGCCGTTACGCACATGAACACGCGTACAATGCTTAAATTTAAATATATTTTGTATTCTTCTGGGAAGACCTTGATAAGTTTAAATTCCATTAAGTATTTCTTATTTAATAGAGATTACAGGGAATATGGCACCAAAAGGGAGTTGGGGAGCGTTTGGGGAACATCTGTAACGGTCCCCGTTACAATTAGCACTAGTTATTATTATTATTATTATTATTATTCCTGGGAAAATTTTGTCCTCGAGTGATCTTGTAAACTACACATCCGACTAAGGTAAAATGTTTTTAGGGTCAGTAGACATGTTATGTAGATTTGCCGAACAAAGGTCATTTTGCGTGCACGTGCTTGCAAGAGCGCGCACGTGCAACACGTAAAATGACCGATTTAATTGATATAGGCGTAACTTTTTACATTTTTGATGAAATGCTTTGAAACTCATAATATAAGGATGTGTTAATGGCATAGACAATATGACATGGTCAAAATAGCAAGATCTCACGCGCATGCACGTGCGCTTCGCTCTGATTGGCTGAAACTTAAGTCTTTATATCTTTCTTGTTTTTCGACGAAATCCTATGAAATTTTGAACATAGCCATGCATTAAAATATCTTACAACATGATATATAGCAATTATCATGAAAACACGTGCATGCACGTGCGCTGCAATCTGATTGGCTTAAACTTTTAATAGGTATATCTCCCTTGCTTTTCAACCAAACAGGATGGGATTTGGAACGTAGATAGATATATTGAACTTCTACAAGAAGGTATGGTCATCATGCACGTGCATACACGTGCAACACGTGAAATGACCAATATTATGGATATAGCCTTAACTTTTCTATTTCTGGATTAAATTTTTGCAGTTCATAATGTATGGATATATTAGTATAGACAAGATGACATGGTCAGTATAGCAAGATCTCATTCGCATGAACGTGTGCTTCGCTCTGATTGACTGAAACTAAAGTCTCAATATCTTTCTTGTTTTTCATCATAATCCTTTCAAATTTTAACATAGTCATACATTATGAAGATCTACAGCATGATAGATAAGAACTATCATGAAAGCACGTACACTCACGTGTGCTGTAATCTGATTGGCTGAAACTTTAATTGCCTATAATTTTCTTGGTTAACAACAAAACAGGATGAAATTTAGAATATAAATAGATATGATAGATACCCATATTATACTTCATGTACTATCAAAATGCAATGCAGGGGCGTTTATGTAATGCTTTGATATTTGAAATATTGTATAAATGTTGACAAGACAACGATATTTGGAACACATACATGCGCGCACGTGCTATGTATAAAATGACAATTAACTAGGCTATTAAATGTTGCCATATCTTTCGGTTTTTTTTATGATACTGAATATACTAGTATGAAAAGCAATTTTAAATGTAGACAAGATGACATTGTCAACATGCTCATGCATGTACGTACATCACGCGATATGATCGATGTACTTGATATAGCGGTAACATTTATATTTTAGATGTACAGTGCTTTGATCCTAAGTTTACACTCACAGTGATACGTTTTCGAACCCCCGACGTAATGATAATCTCCGTACCCGCGATTCTAGAGCAGACACTCAAACCACTGTGTCACGTGTGCTATGGTACCCTTGCTAGCTGGATGATATGAATTAAAGTCGCTTCTTTAGTATATGTACCCTTTGATCCTTAATCACCCTCTGTAGTATGCTGGCTAGCATGTAACATAACTACATGGTGAACGCATGGTACAGTAAGCGTATGGATCATTAACCAGTCACTTCAAGTACCGTGAAAACTGGGGGTTCTAGCCAGTGCTGTTTTTTTTATAATAATAGTCAGTTGTGCAAAAGAGAGAGAGAGAGAGAAATAGAGAGAGAAAGAGAGAGAGAGAGAGAGAGAGAGAGAGAGAGCATAACATTTCATTGATCATCTTTTATTGAGGATATTAAATATGAATACATAAAAGCTTATACGATGAAATTTCAAAAGTACTTGTAAGCATAGAACGTTTTTTAAAAATAGCTGTTTTTCAAAACAACAGTAAATAAAGTATACCTTGCAATCGTCTGTTAGGCATGGTCAACTATTTTTACTTCTGCAAATGCTGGTTTGAATTGGTTTTATTTTATTTTTTTAAAAATAACGATATTCTAAATATAACCATTTATAACAATCTAAATTTAATCACTTGTGATATGACAAAATAAATATTAATATTTTTTAAATTCGCTTTCCCTTTATTGTTAACTGTTTATTTCATTTAAATTACACATCATATATATACACAGATAATGGTCTTGACAAACAGACAAGGAGCAAAGGGACGGCGTGGCACAGTCAGTAAGGCGCTGGTTTGAGACATGCTATGGGAGGACATGATCGGGACAAAGGTGAAACAAAGGCAGCAAGGAGCCTTAAAGCTATCGTGCAAAGTCATAAACCTATTATACGCAAGGAGCAAAGTGGTGTCCGCCATATTACTTATGCGAAGTTACAATTCCAAATATATGTGATCAAACTTTTACCTATAAATAAACACTTGTACTGTCTTCCGCTAAATTTTAGAAAATAAATACTATATGATGGGAAAAAATAATTGAAAAAAAAAATATTTTTCACAAAATAAGTACGCTTTCCTTTTTACATTGCTTACCAGATCAAGCATTTATAAACCTATGCATATAGGCCTCGGTAAACAAAAATCTGTCAAACAGACATTATTCTATATAGTGAGTGTTATACAATCTACAAAAAATCATTGGAAACTGGTGGTCGTTTTTGACATAACCCAAATAATTGTACACACTTTAGACGCAAATACAAATTAGGGTAACAAATTGTTGTTGTTTTTTTTTATTTATAAAGTACAAATTAAAAAAAAGGCATAGCAAATGAAAAAGAAAAATTGAATCTGTTGAAGGTGTATATATTTTTTATTTACAATTTTTTGCTTGTGTGAACAAATATTGGATATATAAATTATACTATCACTGATTTAGAATTATATTTTTTTGCGAATACAGATTTTAAGACCTACATCACTAAAAAAAAATGCATTGTTTATTTTCAATTATTGCATTAATAAATAAAACAAATACCAAAATTTTAAGAGAAATCTCTCTCTCTCTCTCTCTCTCTCTCTCTTCTCAGTTTCAACCCTATTTATAAGCTGCAGATCAGCTCGCTGGTCTAAAACAATTTAGGATAGTGCTAAACATTGAAAAAAAAGTGTTTATTTATCAAAAATGGTTTTTTTTTTCACCATATATTTCAACTTGAGTTTCTTATATATTCTAAATTTTACTTCATTCACAATAGAACTGCATGTGTACGTCGTGCACGAAGCGCAATGGACCGAATTATTTTGAAACCTAGTATGACAATAATTTTAAAAGCGATTATAGCCCGATGAAATTTCGGTTAGTAAATTTTTTAGGTGGTACATAATTTATATAAGAAAGAAATGGAAAAATACACTGGACAGACATCTCTATTTTTTCCAGCTGCATTTTAGCAAGCTACTGTACAGATCTGTAGCTAATATATTATAAAATGTTTGTTTAAAATTTTCAACTGAAAGCTAGAAAGATTTTTTTTCAAGAAAAAAACAAATTACATTATGAAAAGTTGTTGACAAGTTATTTACA